TTGTATATACACACACACATATATATATATATATATAGATATGTGTGTGTGTGTATATGTTTATTTACATGTATATTCATAAACACCCGTATATTTGTAAATATATTCATACTTATATATATATTTTTACAATAATATCTGCACATTATGTAGAAATAAAAGTGAATTATATAGATATGTACACTCTTACACGCATGTATGAAGTGATATATATTTATACTTACTGCTGTAGAATGTGCTACTCTTTTAATTCTTCATACAATGACACTCACAAAATACAAACTGTATTCGTTGAATACCGATACTATATTCGAAGACCAACCCTGTAGTCTTCGCCCTTTTATTTGCCGCCACATGATGACTTTACATTCTTACGATGTTGCTATATCGCACGTGATCACTAAGCAATTATTCAGTATACTCTGGACGATGACGACCTCAGCCAATAGCAAACAATCATCCAAACATGGAATAATGGAAATACTACGAATGTCACTTTAGTCAATCCACGAGCCCCTCGAGTCTGAAATTGTATCCGGCCCCACAAAGCTCGGCAACATTTGCATATAGATACATCTAAATATCGAGGTTTCAAACATGAGGTCACAACCCGGTTCACGCCAACGTGACTGATAAAGGGCAGCAACGCGACTGACATGGACGAAGTTTCGTCCTCGATAACGTATGTAAACAGTGGGTAATATCTCAGGCGAATGCACATACCACATCATTCAAGGAGCGCACATGATGGTCAACGCCAGGCGCAATATTCAAGGCTTCAATACCCACTTCTGGATGTATAAGATGCGCATCGAGTTTTGTGCGCTCTCGACGAGGTGACTCACATTTGTCAGCAATGTATTGTGAAATCCCATGGTGGCCTTAACTTCACCAATAAACAATTAGCTCGCTAGCGACGGACCCGATTTGGATTTTAACGCGTCATGAGACCGACTGTGATTGGCCAGGTGATCACTACGTGCAAACCGCTTGCCACAACCTTCCACGTCGCACAAGAAGGGTTTTTCGCCAGTATGAGTACTTATATGATGTTCCAAACTGCTGCTTTGGGCAAATCGCTTAGCACATCCTTCCCAGGTACATATGTAGGGCCGTTCGCCAGTATGCGAGCGCATATGTGTTATCAAGTTTCCCCCTTGAGTGAAACGCTTACCGCACCCTTCCCATTCACATCCGTAGGGTCGTTCGCCAGTATGCGTCCGCAGATGATATACCAAGTCTCCACTACGCAAAAACCGTTTCCCGCACGCTTGCCACGTACATGCGAATGGTTTTTCACCAGAATGAGCTCTTTTGTGCACTACCAACTTACTGGATGTAGCGAAACTCTTCCCGCAGTCTTGCCAGTCACACTTGTAGGGTTTTTCGCCCGTATGCGCACGCATATGTGTGATCATATTCCCCCTGTATGAATGTGTTATCTAGAATGAGACGGGTGTAAAACCAAATCTACACCTGCTGTGGATGGTATAAAGGCACCAAAAATACAATTAAAAGTACGACTGGAAAATGAACCATTGTATAGTGACATACCGTTGAGTAAATCGCTTCGTGCACCCAGTCCACTTGCAGGGAAATGGCTTCATATCATCGTGCGTTTTCAGGTGCTGTTCAAGACCTTCACGGGACATGTAAACTTTTGTGCAGCCGGTTGTTGTGCATACAAACACATCCACACCGAGATCGCCGACCAAGCTGGTGTCCTTATCGGGTTGTACCCTTTTAATTCCACCTCGTTGATCGCCATGAGCTGCGGGGTGGCTTCTCTTCTTACTGGTCGCAGACTCTTGTGTGTTCTCCACCCCCACGTCCACAGAAGCCAATTCGAGCACTTTTTCTTGATGCATCTGTGTGTAACTTTTGAAGCCACTAGTGTCGATTGTATAATCTCCATGGACGCCATGTGATTTGATAAGCTTGTTTCCTGACGCCTGTATACCATGCACACTCGACGGAGCATGCATCGTACTTGTTTCGCAGGTTTCGTACGGCGTTCCCGACACACTGGATGAGACTCTCCCCGTGCTTTCCCCAAGCAGTGTCGTATCTGCGTATACACCACTACTAATACTGAAAGCACGCCCGTTTCTAGCCGCAACCTGAAAATATCCGGTACTGTGATAACCTGTAGAGTCATTCGCGCTGTTACTCGCGCCGGAAGTCCAACCGTGTTGGGACTTGTAATATTGCTCTGTTCGCATCCGAGGGCCAGAGATTGAGCCTATGCGCGTTTCGTTAGACGACGTGTCTGTATAATTTTCTGCCCGGTTGCTAGTTTGCAGTATATTTTGCGATGACGTCGAATTCGGCTTGTCAGGCGGCAGCATTGGCGTATTGTATTTGTGTGTACACTGTTCATGGTGGCCTCCGTCAATCCAATCGTAGTTCTAAAAAAGAACCAAGCGGTAGCGTTTTACTTGATGGAGATCAAATGTAGATAAATAGATACTCAGACAACTCCAAACTTAATGCTAGTGCTACCAAACACAAGAAAAACATGGGCAAGCGCTTTCAAACTGACTTCTTCCTTACCTGGCAGTCCCGAGAACAAAAGCATCTACTCATGCAGGGACAAGCTCGATCAGCTTGTTTGTTGCACACTACACACAGCTTCTCAGCCGCAAATTGCGAAGGAATATTTTCAGCGGTATTGCTCGCCATTCAGTCAATCCTGGCGCCGGTGAAGTTAAGGTGATGAGTGCTTCATAACAACTGTAGTGCAATTTTAAACGGATTTTCACACACACGTAAGGATATAATTTTTTTTAAACAGTTACAATTACGCACAACCAAGATGTTATAATTAGCCCGGGTTTTTTAGGTCTCCTGCCGCAACCTTTTTTTCGTCTGTGGAACAGTACAAAACAAGAAACGGCAAAAAGAAAAAAACCCCCACACATACAGTCCATACACTCAGTCACTCACGCTATTTTTATTGTGCTTTCCCATCATGATGTGCAATTGTGCACAAACGACAAACGGTGAGTCAGACTCAATGAGTCTCAGACTCTCAGTGTCTGAGACTGTGATCGACTGATCGACTGACCGTTGACCCGTTGGCATGTTGCCCTAATGACCTCGCTCCACAGTCCACTCTCCATGACTCCAGACTCCCAGAGCAGGGATGTTAACCGGACAATTACTCCGGACAGTCCAAAAAAAAGAGTTTGTCCAGACGTTCGGAGCCCCAGGGCCCAGTCCCATGAGTCCAATAACTGATGACTCCTAAGAAGGGTACAGACACAAATTTCAAAAAAAAAAAATCAAGAAAATATTTACTCTATTGACTAGCTAGTTGTACCGCTTTTTAGTAGAGAGCAACACTGCAGCGGTCTAAATACTGCGCACCGTCGGTCCGTCGCACGTACACTAAACCTTAAACCGTTTTCCGTTAAAAGTTTTATAAATCAAATAAATAAACATTTTCAATTTGTAATCCATTTGCGGATCACCCACAGGAATTTTTTTCCGAAACGGGTTTCGTAGCCCTGGTTGGCTTTTGGAGAGGAATCCAAAACTGCAATAAAAAATGAGTCTGGAGGACTGGATGTTCAGTAAAAGCGAAGTTTTCACTATATATCACCAGTGCCAAAACAAAATGTGACGAGTAGTCATATTTTACCAAAATGCACCCAGTAAGGGGTTGTTTTTTTTTCAAAAATAGTTTGTACCAGAACTGGTACAAAGAAAAAATCAAAATGAAATGTGACGACTCGTTACATTCACAAATCCCGAATTTTATTAGTTAGCTTACTCATCAAAAGCTAGGACTGCATGAATTATATAGTTGTTGTTTTTTTCCGGAATAATTTTTTTTATTTAGATCCACAAGGTAAATTATCAGGATAGTAACTGTCAAAACAGATCCAAAACCAGACTTGCACTTCCACACAAGGTAAATTATCAGGATAGTAACTGTCAAAACAGATCCAAAACCAGACTTGCACTTCCAACAATATTTCAAAAGTACAGACGGATTTTTTTTTCTCGAATATTTCATTCAATAAAAGTTTATTTAAAAAAAAAGCTAGTATGATTTGAGTTTAGGGTTTTATTAAGTTCACTTGCCTACGAAGGCCCCACCCCGCCCCGTAGAGTAGGGTCCACGGCAACCAGGTAAATCCATGGTCCTTGACATAGCTTACCAGCGCTCATAGTCATCAGAGGAACTACCATCACTAACACTAGTACTGCCACTAGTACGTCTGTTGCACTCGTCGTCAGCAGAGTCACCATCACCACTAACATTAGCACTGCCGTTGGTACTAGACTTGCGTCTGTTCCCTCTAACGCCCACCAACTCGCCCTTGAAGTGTTCATCTTTGTGGAATCGTGAAAAACAACTTTCATTGCTGAATTTCACTATAACTATCAACATGTACATCCTGTGTATGCTGTGGGCGGTTATCCGCCTCTTGCTGAGGGTGTGTTAAGCCTAAACCGTTGCGTACCATAATAGCTTTGCAACAACTATGCTAGCACAATTGTGAGTTTATGTGCACGCTTACTATAGAAGTTACAACTTCATACTACAGAAGTTGCAACTTCGAACATCTACCATTTCGGTGTCGATTGTCCGATCAATGTGTTTCTTGGCTCGTCTTCGCGCTGAATTTTCCGGTCTTTTGATTCCGACAAATAGCTAAGGGCCAAAACAAATCATTCGTGGGGCAAATAAGGACGACTCGTTACATTCCCAAAAATCCCCAAAAAAAAATCCGGTCCATTTTTTTCAGAATGTGACGATTCATCACATTCTCTGGCGCTGGTGATATAAAAACAACTCCAAATAAATAAAATACAAAATCAATTCTATTCGATTATTTCGATCTGATAGCACTAAACGTAAATAAATAAATATTGTCTTCTCTTGTGTCAGTGTGTGTGTGGGCAAGAATGATAAAATGTTTTTCTTTTTTAATATCAATTTGTTTATTTCATGTTTTTGACCTTTGGGAAGTTTTTGTTGTTGATAATATTTATTTCATAAGAGACAAGTTACAAGTGGAGTTAACAACAAGGGGGTTCAGTGGAGCACCCATGCTGCGGGGAAGAATTTTTGGCGCTCGTTCATGTGTGTAGCCGGCAGTTGGCCTCCCACTTGGTGCGAAGATGGTGGATTAAAGCTGCTTTCGTATTGTCGGGATAATGTTGGGAGCGTGGGTCGATGGTTTTATCAAATTGTCATTTTCACGTAAGTGTTGCATGTGGTTTCTCCTGGGTGACAGCGACGCTAGGAACACAAAGGCGGACGAAACTGGTGGAGCTTCCGAGGCGATTTTGTTGAGAAACCGGTTTGGACGGGAGATACCAAAAGAAGTGATGACGATTGGGGAGCGGTTGCGCGTGCCAGTAATTTTTGAATATTGATTGGGGTAGAGGCATATGTAACCGTTAGAGAAAATTGCCTGGAAGAAGAACTTCGTGGAGAGGTTTTTCCGGCATTGGGCTGTCCTTCCGTTTCGTCAGGATAATAAAGAGATTGGATGCCATTCGTTCTATGGAATAGAGATGAGAGCGTGCGGCGGTATGTCACTCGAGTAGGGACAACCCTCTCAAATAGCGCGCGGAGTCCGTTGGTCCAGTTTCTGGGCATTCCAGCGTGGCGCAGGAGTACCCATAGGCGTGGGAAAGCAACCTTGTCGTATGCTTTGGAAATGTCCAGACAGACGGCGTTAGACTCCTTTTCCGACTGAATATTGTGACGAATATTGTGATTTGAAGCCAGCTTGGGTAACATGGGTAGCAGAGATGTAATAGCCGGGCCTCCCCATTAGACTCTATGTTATAAACGTACTCTTAAGCAGTACGTAAACTATGAACGTAATCTTAATAGTACAAGGAACTTAAGTTTCTTAAATGATTTTTAACGGTTTTATTAATTAATACCCTTTCCATTTTACATATCAGATACTTGGACAAGACTATTAAAAGGCCTTAGTAAAATACCAAACATAAGATTGGGTATAGTTATATTAATAGAACTATATTTACTTTCCAAATCTATTTATATCTGAAAACTTCGGTAGCGAGATGGCTCATCCGAATATAGGTTTCTAGGGACTATTAGCGTTACCTAGTTTAACCTCCGTTCAACCAACCAGATGTGCCAATCTGATGAAGGCTAAATCGGTAATTCTTGATAAGTGGTAAGTTATTGGTTAATGCAATAACTATGGACATCAAGTGTTTTTTTTCTTTTTCTTTTTTCTTTTCATTTTTTCTAACGATATGATTTCATGAGTTTCTTATATTCGCCCCAATGAAACATACCATAGTTTCTAATAGAGCGACAACGAAACACTAAATAAAATCCCTTCGGCAAAAACGTACTCAGAGGATTATATATAGGCAATGTCTCAGCCTCACAATCCC